TGTGCCCACAAAATGCAGAACATTTCATGCATGCCCAAAACAAGAAACGAGTATAAAGTGAATCACAGCGATCACCTTAAATTGATTTTCATGTACCCCATATATTGAAGATTTTCCCATGAGAAAAGTTCCTAGTTCGTCTGCTGTATACATATACTAGAAAAATCCAATAATGTTTAAGGGGAATACGATGTGCTTAATTTTATCAGATTATAAAGTAGGAAAATATATAATAGCATTACAATTAATCTGTTTGAAATGGCATACTGAATATATTATGTCCATATCAACATACTCATCAATATAACTTACCTGGAAAGGATCTCAACATGCGACCTCTGTTGCACTCTAGTGTTAGTTTCTGTTCTAACATGGGAAGTGCGGTTCCTCAATTGGAATAGGCAACAGCTATTGAATGCCTACCGATGCTATGATGTCTACCAGATCAGATATAGCTTTTGTTATTGGGAAACTAATTAGATACATGAGTAGTAATAGTCAGTTGCAATGGCAAGCGGTATATAGAGTCTCAAAGTACTTACGATGGACTATGGATTGTGGTGATCATTACACTCGCTATCCTCTTTAGATTGATTTATGGATATTAGTGGATAGAGTTTCTCGGTGGGGGTGTAATAATATGAGGCTAGAAGAAGCAAACATGTATTGTTACTCAACCATGACATCCAACTTTATAGCTCTTGCTTCATGTAGCAAGGAAGCTAAATGTTTAAGGAATTTGTAAGGGAAATTCTTATTCAGCTTAACTCACGCCACCAGTTTCAATTGGCTGCAATAGTGAAGCCACATCGTCTAGTGTTTACAGCAAAGTATACAATGACAAGTCTAAACATCTTAGATTAAGACATACTTGGGTAAGAGAACTAAAAGCTCTAGTAAATTGAAAGTTTAGATTTAGCCAATTTATTTGAACCCATCATGCGAAATTATATAATTAAAAGCAACAAGTCACTTTTTAATTATTCTAGATGTTTAATCAATCACGTCAAATTATCCTATGATTTGAATTCCACAATGAATAATATGAAAAGCAGTAAACAACACAGAATATGGTGAAAGAGAAATCCCAACTGGGGTAAAACCTCTGGGACTAAGCCAGTAATATCCACTATCGACAATATGATCTTATAGTATGATCCGGTCTAGAAAATTCACTAGAATTGTTGATCTAATTCGTGTAATCTCCAAGACCTAGTGGAATGTGCTTCACTCACACTTGTTACCGATCTTCTACAACTGTATATCTCCTTTGAATCACCAAGAACACCTTGTTCTTTACTCTTCTTGTGCTTCTGGTCCAACCTCCATCAATCTTCTACAACCTCTAAAAGCTACTAAGAACGTACCTTCCTGTATGTGTATAGGAAGCGGGCGTTCAGGATTACATGAATTTGATGTTTTTTGAAAGTTGTGGTTGAATGATCTCAAGAATCAAAAGATTAATCTCAGTGTCATAATGTGATGATGTTATGAAGAAGTAATATAATGAACGGTTTACACATAAAATGTGTTAGGTCTTAGGTATTTATTGTAGAAGGTAATTAGGTAGTATGGGCAACATAAAACTCTTGAAAAACTCGAATTAGGGTTTCTCCAGGGGCACAGTCGCTCAAGCACACGCTAGCTCCGGGCGACAATAATTCTATTTTGGAGGCTCAAGCATTAGCTTAACAATAGGCTAGCGTAATTTTGACGACTCTTTCTCCATGTTCCATATCCAACCCTAAGGCTCCTAACTCATCTATACAACCTAGAACAAACTCCTTGACTTTAACAACTCTTTTAATAGTAATCCTTTAGTCTAAAGAATAGTCAATATAATTAAAACCTAACAAACTCCCCCTTCGAAATTTTATGACAAACTATACAATACAAGTCAATGAAATTTTAAAAAATAAAACTAATCTACCCAAACTCAAATTGAATGTCTTCTCTTCTATTCCCTATTAAAAGCACGTGAAATAGGAAATATAAAAATTAAAACACACTATCATAAATATGCTAGGTGGATTGAGAAATAACACTAATGTTAATCAAAATACCAACTAAAACATTAATATCACAAAATATCGAAACTCAAAGAAGCTATGTATTATGTTATGGAATGCCACGAAGGAAAGATATTATCTCTCCCTCTTACTGAAAACTCTCGCTAAAATGCAGCTAACTCTCAACTCAAAATTACAATCAAATCTCTCTCCCCTTTTTTGTCACAAATGACTAAGGGAGCTGTATCAAATACACATGAACATCAGTATATAATAATTCAAAAATGCAGTTGATAGCATGCACAAGTATAA